ATATTTCTTCGAGTTGGTCTCCCAATCCAAGTCTCTTCAAAATAATCAATTCAATGGATTAATAACTCTTCATTGTCTACAAAAAACTGTTGAGACATTATAATTTATCAAATTTAGTTTATTTATATTAGTTTATCGACGAATCATTTGGATTTTACACCGATAACAAAAAATATTAGTCGAAAACATATAACAATAAAATAGCAAAATGTAGACGTATAGAAAATATTGTGTCTACATATGATGAACGTGATCTAAATGAGTACTTAATAATTGGAATCGCTCATAATTTAGAACTACAACATTAAAGTATTTTATGGGAATTTTTTGTTTTTTTATTACTTGTCTTATATTTTATATTTATGAGTATACTTATAATAGATGGGGATATGTCGTACGGGGAAACGTATTGGACGGGGAAATATCTTACGAGGAAGTGGTTACGAGGAAACGCGTGACGAGGAAATGGCAGACGGGGAAGTGTCCATGAATCGAAGTAACACATTTGGTTTACTTTTGGGGATGGATATAACATCATCAAATATTATTAAAAGGTTATCATGAATAAATTTCAACAAACCTATAAAATATTATTTGTTGTCACGATTTGGTGAGAATAAATCGTAGAACAGAATTTCATCCTTAAAATCAATATTATAAATAAATTATAATTTTCATGTTGTGAATGATAGTTACCATATTTAGCATAATTCTAGATCACGGTAACTTTAGACCAAATACCAAATGATCGAATATTAGGTGTTATGAGTTTTGTTCTTTACTTGTATCGAAGTTACATGACGGCTGAATTTGGCCACCGTTAAAGTAAAAATCCACATGACCCACTGGCTGTCTCATTCCAAAAAACATGGTTGATGTGTGCAACACTATTACGAATTGTCCGCTGTCTACATCGACTCTTTCATTTTTCTGACTTTCTTTAAAATTAGGCTGTGCCGGTTCCAGAGCTAAAAAATATAAGCCTCAATTAAATTATTTGGATGTAATAAGTTATTTTTCCTCCCAATAAAATGTAAGMTGGTATAAAATATTTAACGAAGAAACTACACTAAAATTTAAATAGTGATATATTTTATTATATTTTTTAACTGTTAAAACGTGATCTGTAATACAGTATGATATTTATACATACGGGACATTAGACATTTTCATTTTTAATATACTATAATATAATTGGTAGGTAGAATTTTATAGTATTAAATGATAATTATATGCTTATTACGTTTTATTTAAAACTTGATCACCATCATAACTAATGTTAATGACAAATATAGGGTCGGATGAAGAGTCCGAATTCCAACAGCTATAGTATGTTTATAGCTCAAATTATTACTTTCATTGTATACATTTTGATTTATATTGACAATTTTCCTATTATATTCCAACTAATTTTCAGTAAACTTATCATGNCAAATATAGGGTCGGATGAAGAGTCCGAATTCCAACAGCTATAGTATGTTTATAGCTCAAATTATTACTTTCATTGTATACATTTTGATTTATATTCACAATTTTCCTATTATATTCCAACTAATTTTCAGTAAACTTATCATGATTTCACAAGTAAAAGTTTAGTTTATAGAGAAAAACAAAAAATTACAATATTTTTACAAAACATAATTTWTTATTTCAATGATGATTCTCTTAAGCTTTTATGTAACTACCAAAATTTAACATTCAATCGAGATTTTGCTTTAAAAAAAAAAAACAAATATTGCGCATTTATAAATCACGGACACAAGAGTATGAAGAAACATATCAGTTTTTGAAAACATAATGGAGTTCTATCAAACTCTAGTGACCCGTAAACTATGACTGATCGAACTACAATTAATTTCGGCAAATGGGAATTGCATTTTTTATMATTTATAACTTCATAAGTATAGGGATTTATAGTAAGTGTCCATCTAATATTTATATACTAACGTCATAAAACTACTCCTTTCACTTATAAAAAATATTGTTTATTGAATATTGAAAGAAAATTGTAGTAGGWGATTTATTTTAATTTTTTGAAGTTATAAAATCATATGACTAATCTCATCGTAGAATTTAAATAAATGTATTGTAAGGGAGCTGTTGCTTATTTTTMTTTACAACATAAATTTCCAGTTGTAAAAATAACGTTTTTTGTTTATTACATTATTTCATTGCAATATTTAAAACACATTTAATTAGTTAACCATTAAACTGTGAGCTATAAAATATTAAGTATTCATTTACTATACGGCTCGATTTTATAACTATCTTAAGTTATAATTTTGCACTTTTTCCATCATTTTTCAATCTCAATTGTTATGTTCATAATTAATTTTTTTTTTTCGATAGGTAATCAAGTTTTAGAACAAGGGTGTATAAAATAATAAACGATGCGAAAATAATTACTTATAAGCATACATAATTGGTCCCTCATATGTTAATATAAGTATTTATGTTTTTAATGTTTTGCTATTCATTGAACAATATTATGTAAATAAAAAA